TAAGCAGCAACGACGTTATCAGAGCAGCCAGACCCAAGACAATATAGAAAAGCTAGTTTTTCTACATTGATTCGCCTGGTGGTCGAACCCGGGACCTCAGAGATGGCGACGCCATGAAAACCGGTGTGCAAGTGATTTTGAGACCATAAGAGTCATTTATCGGAATCACAGAACAATAATTACACTAGAAGTGGTTAGTTAACGTCTGACGCGTGCCAACATTAGGACTCGAAAGACCTACTTGAGCTCAGTCCGCCATTTGTATACCATACAAATGGTTGTATCATTCTTTCGCGCAAATTGTCTAAAAAAATGCCTTATTGTGATGTTTTGGAGTGTAAGTCGTATCGGTAAGTTTACATTTTCAATTTTCTGATTTTCGAATTGATTTAGATGTTAATCGTTCGTCGTAGTCCAGCTACAGGCCCCAAGATGGCAGCACGTTGAATAAAATTTCAATATAAAATCAAAACGTCGTAACTTGCAATAAAGATATTGAACTTTCAACGATATAGCTACTAGCTAAACATCTTTATATATTAGAAACCATAGTTTCTAATACATAAAGATGTTTCATAGTTTAATAATGATTGGTCATAACCAATCATTATCAAGATGTCGTAGTGTTTATTATCATTTGTTTGTGTGCGTTTTGGCGACAGCGATTCCGATAGTAATCGAGGCTTATGGCACTTCAATTGTTTTTTTCTTCCGCGATCGGAATAGACAAATAACTGTTACACGACCAATGTGAATAGTACTCACAGAGCCTTTATGTAGAAATTATAGAATTGCAGTAGCAGAATGTAGAGGACCTGTTCGTCTGTCGTTCGTTTCGTGCCCCTGGTTTCTTTTGCACCCGTGTTATATGCATCCGATTCAAATAAATTCTATATCAATATTTTTATGATAGATATGAGTTAATTTGCATTGAGTACTGTTGACAACTAAAATATTTTTAAGAATTTATTAATTTATGCATGTATGATACAATTACTGTCTTAATTATTGGTTGTTACAAGCTCGTATTGATAAGACGTAATGTAAAATGCGTTCAAGTTACTCGTATGTTTTATTTTAAGAATTAGTGGGACAAAATGATAAATAAATTATGAAAATAATTGTGACTTGTACTAATTTCATCAAGTAAAACAAATCTCTTTTTTATATTAAGTTCATGTTACCTATCAAAATTTTATTATTTTATTAAAAGCATTTTCGTATCTACCAGTGCATTTAATTAAAAATTGCTTTACATTTATCCTAACTGACATGAATCGGGTGCAAAATGAGGGCAAAATAATCTAGGAGCATAACGAACAGACCCAATATAGAGTTATTGAACGGAAATGGTAACATATAATATGTTACATAATTCTCTTTCTTATATTTTTTACTTCTTATATAAATCGATGGGAGTTATAAACTACTGTTGAACAATAACTGTTAAACAAAAGGAGTTCGTAATTAATATAATGAGTCTGCTTATTTCATCATTTTGAAACACGCCGTATGTAAAAGTTAAAAGATAATTTTGTAACATTTTTGAGATACTCTGTTATGGGGAATGACTTTTTCCATGGTTCAAACACATGTGACGCGACAAGCGGCGCCGGCTCAAGTTGCAACCGCGCAATTACCGCACCGCTTGAATGTCAATGAGCGTTATGTCACTGCGCATCTTATGGGCGAGATTTATTGTTCTTTAGACCTATCTATAGGCGTCGCGAATGCTTTAATGGTGTTCCGAATTGTGTTAGGTCACGTTTTTGGGAATTGTTTGTTGCAAGTCGAGGTAAAGCAAAACTAAGTGTGTCTTCTTTTGAAGATACGTAATTGCGTTACTTCGAAGACTGTAGATAATTGCAACTTTACGTTTAATCTGTAACTAAATATAGGTTTGGCCGACATCATCATCGATTGATGTCTGGACGTACTCAGAATGGAAGACGTCAACCTTTGACCATAGATAACTTCTGTTTACCACAGAAGCACGGAGCGACTTATACTAATCCTCGGTTCACCTAGTCGGTGACTATTCTACTTCTTGGTGCTTCCAGTTTTTATTTTTTTTCCATCCTCTAAGTTCCAGTTAGTGATGTGTGTTTTTTCTTCATTTGAACTAGGTTTTACGTTTACTTACAACCTCTCCTAATGTGGAAAATGAAGATGTGGATTAAAATTGTATACCCCTAGAAGATTTTTAGCAGTAGAGCTCCTTGTGAAAGAGTTCGTCGTGGGTAGTACTGCCACCTTACCTATTTCTGCCGTCAAGCAGTAGGTAATATTAGCATTACTGTATTCCGGTGTTGAAGCGTAAGGATGCTGGTAAAATTACAGGTAGGTGGGACTTGTCAACTTATGTCTCAAGATGATGGGCGCAGTAGCAGTTGCCCCTCAGATCTTTGACATTCACAGCTCTAAATGGCATTGCCACTATTATGGACAGGCGTGTAACTTACCATCAGCCGCACGACTTGTTCGTCCCATCACTAGATATTGTAAAAAAAAGATGCCTGTTCAATTTGACCTAAACAAAATACAACTACCTATGTCTTTCTGAACGCTTGCCAGTAGTATGACTTATGTGACCACACTACACTATTTACACTATTTACACTATTTCAAACTTATTACTTTCAAGTAATTTTCATTGTCAGCTTTGTCGGTAAGTTTTATTAAGGGTTACTTGTTTCTGCATTTTCTGTACATCCCATTACGTTGTGACACTCAGTTTCTAACCTTTAAATATGAGATCAACCGTTGGGGTCAGGAGACATAGGTAGTGTGCTTAACATTTGCAAAATAGCTCATTTTCTTTTAAATGTAAAGACATATTCATTATCATTAGCCACAGAAGAAATAAAAAGGACCATTATGCTCGATTTATTGTGAGCAGCGTGTACGCGCGATCGCTATTGTGCTCTCTTTTTCTCATTACACTATAAAACATCCGAGGAAGAGATAACAACTGTATCAGGGATCGCGTGCTAAATATTTGAGCTTTAAACTTAATACTTAACCAAAACTAAAATGAAGCTTGTTAAATAAATAGGAGAAGTATTGCCAACATCAAAAAGGTCAATTGCAAATTTAGCATGCGCACGCGATCAAATCGTGCCCTCATTACGCAAGTCGCAAAGACACTTGATTTTACGTGATATGCAAACGCAATATTTACCTTAAATGTATAACTTGCATAAAAAGTATGCTTCAGGCTTGAGCTTGAGTTACTTGACCCTTTTGACAAGGACCTACGTGAGGAAACTAGAAATTATTTGCTTTAGATA